AGTGGGGTGCCCAGGCCCGGGCTGACGGTCCCAGGGGGGGCTGCCCAGGCCCAGGCTGACAGTCCCACGGGGGGCTGCCCAGGCTGATGGTCCCATGAGCTTTCCTGTGACACGCACACAAGCTGGTTTTAATATAAAATTTATATGCGCTCATCTTAAAAAGTAGAAAGCGTACAAGCAGAAAGTGACGGGCAAGCTTTCCTCTTCGGGGCAGGCCTAGGCACCGGCCCGGTCCAGGGTGGCAGGCGCCGAGTCCCTCGGGGGCTTCCGGAACCTGCTCTGGAGAAAAACCCTCGGCACACACAGGCCCTCCCTCTTGTTCACCGTCTCTCGGGAGACATACGCGTTCACCACCTCTTCATAACCTGTGTCCGTAAAGAGCCGGGCCAGGAACCCTGGAAGACAAGCGGGTTGACACCTGCTGAGTCTCACGGCAGTCGCAGTGCTCTGCCGGGCGGGGCATGCGGTGTGCTGGTTCTGGGTGCTCTGGGATGAACACGTCAGTGCTGAATTTAAAGAGGGCTTGTTCTGGAAATGAGTAACTCTTACTCCCAGTCTCAGCCCAAATAGAAACCTCCAGCTAAAGAATCCAGTCAAGAAGCCGAAGGCCAGCCGGGGTATGCGCGACTCCGCCAGCACGCACGCCGCAGTGGAGCCACCCTTCCAGGCCACGCCACCCCGACAGGGCCGCACCTGCTCACAGGGTAATGTCAAGCACCTCGTCATCCAGCACAGAGGAGGGGTCTGTGACTAGAGCGGAAAGTGAATCCCGGACGGTGACATGCCCTCAGGGACTGGCGGCTCGGAGCCCGAGGCCACGGAGCCGGAGCCCAGATGGATGTGCATCCCAGATGGATGTGCACGGGCAGACTTCACCCTCTCGGTTAGCTATCGGGGCGCCAACGTCTGCAAGTCAGAAGATGCTCTTAGCTTCCACCTGGCCATTTTCTAACTACGGTTGTGAGATAACCACTCATCTTTGGTTTCATTTTAGTATCTAAAAGAACATTTCAAGAACTGAAAATGTCTGTGAAAACAGAGATGAAGAAGGTAATTATCTTAGATTTTTAGGCAGACTTCAAACTATGTTCAAAACACCCAGAAGACTGAAATAATATTCAATACTTTCTTATCAACAGTGATAGCAAACTTATATAGTAAAAAACAGATTTGATCCCTTTTACCAAAAAAAGATCTCCTGCCGTTGTGACCGGAAGGGTGCCCTGGGCATTACACCATCTCGCCTGCTTCCTGACGGAGCGTGGGGGTGTCTGACGGCCTCCGCTGTCCCAGCGCACTTCCCGAACGGCATCCCCGGGGCCCTTCAGAGCCTGCCCACGACACCGGGGCCCCCAGCAAGCGCCGTCCCCAAAGGAGGCTGTGAACCCCTAGCAGGCAGGGCTGTGTCTGTCCGCCCAGGGCCAGGCAGACGGATTCATCTGAGAGTGGGTCAGTCCTGGCTCTTGCCCTGCTTAAGGGCAGCCGCAGGCCAGCCCGGGCAGGGTTGTGGCACCGCGCCGTCAGGAAGCGAGAGCAGGGCAGCCCGAGGCCACCCATCAGCTCTCACCATCGGTAAAGAAGTACGCTCTGGTTCCATCTTGCCTGACGTAGAAGTTCTCTCCCAGTCTGCTGCGGGCCTTGAACCTGAGCATGGCATGGTCGTTCACCCCGTAGTCGCGAAACAAGACGGCTCCGCCCGGCCTTAGCACCTGCGGGAGGGAAGCAGGCTGCACCTAGCTCTGGCGAAGGAAGGAAGACCTGACTAAGGGAGGGGTGAGAACAGTGTGGTCATCGCCAAAGGGCCAACCTGAACCACCGTAACGTACGGACGAGGACGAGGCCTGGCCGTTAGGGCCCGAGGCAGGCAGAGCCCCACGCAGAGGGCTCTGGGCACTCTCCAAGAACCGAGACAGCCTCGCCCTCAGTACAGCACTCTCCCAACGCCTCCTTAGTCAGCCCCTAGGGCCGTGCTCTAGAAGTCTTTGGCAACCCGCATTCAAAAATGAAGCCATGCCATCGAGGGCAGCTGAGGCCACCCTTTTAGTGCTGCCCTGAACTGACCGGTGTGTCTCCCTCTGTTGACGGACCGGATTATTTTTAGCCGTTTGATGTTGTGAACACAATGCTGCTATGAATTCACTTCCCTATGTCTCTGTGTGCAAGGCTGAGGTTTGGGAGTACCATGGGAGCGGAACTGCCAAGTCATGTCGATGACGTGATCAATGACTGACTCCTACGGTGGTCACCTGATTTACGCTCCTACCAGGGAAGTCTCACAGGGCCTGCTGCTCCACGTCCTCAGCAGGATTCAGCTCCGTCGACGCACTTCTGCGGACCCGGTGTCTCACCAGTTTCACTTGACATCCCTGGTCACTGAGGCTTCCTGTCCGTGTGCTAATCCACCACCTGTGTGTGCTCCTCTAGAAACGGCGATCACGGCTGCCTGCTTCTCTACTGTTTGTCTTTCTTACTGACGGAGGTTTCTTAGATATTCTGGGTACCGGTCTCCTGTCTGTTGTACAGACTGTCAATTACTTTTCCCACCTTGTCTTTCCAGCTATTATTATTATTATATTGTCTCCTAGAGAACAAAAATTCCTAATTTTATTTACTGACCATTTTTTTCCCTCAAACATGCACTTGAACCTTCATAATTTGATAAAGCATTCATGAAAGAATCTGCAGACTTCTTTCACAGAGAAGTAATCGTTTTTTATTTTTTTAAGAGAATGATTTTTGTTATAAGATGCATGGACTCACTGGAGAGACAGAGACAGAAAGTGAGAAATCATCCCCTTGGGGGGATGGCTACGCCTCAATCCTTACTCCTTCACTCTCTTCCTGGAGTCTCTGGTGCACGCGCGTGCACACATGCACCCTGCATGAACTCTAAGCCGCCAGGTCTGGGACTTGAACCACAGTTGCCTACGTGGGAATCCAGTGATGTAATCATTATGCCATCCGCTAGTCCCGACAAATCACACCTTTGAGCAGACAGGACTGTCCTAAAAATCTTTTTTCTCACACCCACCATCCACCATCCACTCTCCACCCACCACTTTCCCCACCGCCTCTAGCATCAACACCCCTCCTGTCCACCATGACATCTCCAGCTCTCAGCCTCTGCCACGGAGTGCAGACACTTGGTGAATTGAGTGAGGATATACAATGTGCACCTTTCAAAGCCTGGCTCACTTTATTCAGCGTTAACTCTTCTATATTCATCCACTTTGATTCGAACAACAGGATGACCTCATTGTTTCTACAGCTGAGTAATAGTCCATAGTATGTAACTATATGTCCCAGTTTTTCAACCCAGTCATCAGTTCCTAGACACTTAAGTTGGTTCTGTGCTTTAGCGACTGTGATTACAGCTGCGATAAACATGGACATGCAAGTGTTGTTCTCAATGTTTTCCTATCCTTTCGGTAAATACCAAGGAGTGGGATTACTACATCATAAGGAAGTTCCATTTATACAGGCTTTGGGAAACCTCCATATTGTTTTCCACAGAGGCTGAACTAATTTACATTCCCACCCACAGGGTAGGAATGTAAATTCCACCACAGCCTCATCAGCACTTGCTGTTCTTTATTTTTTTGATCCTAACCATTCTAACTGAAATTAAACGGATCTCATTGTGGTTTTAATTTGAATTTCCCTTATGACAAAAGACTGAACATTTTTTCACATGCCTCCTGGCTGGTCTTGGAGAATTATCTATTCAATTCATTTGTCCATTTTTTAATTGGATTATTCACTTTTTTTTAAATGGGTAAGCTGCTAGAGTTCGCTATATGTTATAAATATCAATTCTTTTGTCTGAGGAATAACTAGCAAATATTTTCTTCCACTCCAAGGGTTGTCTTTTCACTTTAATTATTGTTTCCTTTGCTGTGAGGCAACTTTTTAGTTTAATGTAATGCCACTCGTCTGTTTTAGGGATTGTGGCCTTTGCTTTAGGGGTCTTATTTGGGAAAGCTGCCTACTCCAGTATCTTCAAAAGTTTCCCCTACATTTTCTACTACGAGCATATAGTTTGAGGCTTTACAGTTAAGTCTTTGATCCATTTTGAGTTAGTTCTTACACTCCCAAGTGTCTGCTCATGCCGCAATCCCTTCCTCTAGTCCTACCGCCTCTCAGATCCTGGGTGCTCCCGTGGGTGCCTGGAGTTGCGGGCTGACCCGGCTGGGGACTTGACTGCAGCTGCCATCTGGGTCTAGTCTCTCCTGAGCAGGGCACTAGCCTACAGCATGGAGCTGGCCCAATGGTAACCTCATATTCTAGGCACTATCCCTTTCTACTCGACATATATCTCATTTCTCTTCCCCAGATCCCAGGATCTAGAGCTACCATCTCGACACTTCACAGATGAAGACTCTGAGGCTCAGGGCTGTAAGGAGACTTGCCTGGTGGGGAAGCCAGCTTTTCATCCTAGGCATGTGGACCCCGAACTGTGCTCTTGACCACTGGAGCAGACTTCCTCCCACCTTACAGCAGGACTCCATGCATCCCAGATAACTGCAAAATCCCCTTTGCTCCAGGCTGGCCAAGCGCCGAAGACCAGCCATGGCATCGCACAGATCAGAGTTTAGGAGGGTGTTTTATGCCAGAGAACCCCTTTCCATCAGCTGACTATACAGCCTACCTCCTGAGAATGGAAAGACTCTGTGAATCTAGACAGTTATTGAGCCTCAGAGGGAGGGTAAACAAGAGGTCGGAATGTCTAACCCTCAAGTGCAAGGTTCAAATCACTAACCTTGTAAATGTTTTGTAAGACAAGGTGCATCTTATCAGGGTGAACAGCTGAGAGCACGAATATCAACATGACAACATCCACAGACGCTGGTGGTACATGATCCAGAAGGTCATCTCGAGTCAGATCACACTGGAATACCTTGCACCTTTCTGTGTCATAGAAAGGATTTTGCTAGAGGGAGGGAAAAACATAGAAGAATTTTAACATAACACATATGTGCATACAGGAAAATAAAGCATCGAAAGGAGATCCTATCTCCACTGTGCATTGCCGCACAGAAATGACGATCACTTGTTACTGGGTACACGGAATAATGAACCGTCATGCACGAACAGAACATAATGCACACCATTCAGCAGTGCCACAGAGGCGAGACTTCTTTCTTTTCTTTTTTTTTGGTCATAGGGCACATGAGCTCAATGGGGAGAGACAGAGAGAGGGAAAGTGAGAAACGTGCCTAGCATGATTTTTAAGTCTGGGTCTGAGAATCAAACCATGGTCTACCATGTGGGAATCCAGTGGCTTAATCACCATGCCACCTGCTGATTTTGGCAAGATTTCATCTTAATCTATTTTTAACAGAGGAGAAAAATACACTCCATGACATTCAAAAAGCATTTTATTAATAAAAGCATAACCCTAAATTGGACTCCACTTCCTTAATCCTCCTTTGAATCATCCTTTATAAACTTAAAACTTTTGAAAAGTCCTTCCAATCCTGGGAACCAGCAGTTAGCGTAATGGCTATGTCACTGGATTCCCACGTAGTCGACCGTGGTTCGTGTCCCGAACCCGGTGGCTTAAAACTCACGCCGGGCGCGTGTGCGTGCGTGCCCAAGATCCCGAGAGGAGAATGGAGGAGAAGGGATTGCGGCGTGACCATCCCCCCTGGGGGGTGATTTCTCGCTTTCTGTCTCTATGTCTCTCTCTGTCTGTCTGGCAAGTGCACGCGCCCTACAGTGAAAATCTCTCCAAAAAAAAAAAGTCCTTCCAATCCTCAAGTTCTTCCACAGTTCTTGTAGGGTATATTTTCCCTTGATGTAAGTAGCTAAATAAACTTAATTATTTTTGACTAGAAGTGTATTCCAGGTACATTCTGGTTAGTGGGCTTTAGTGCACGTGTATAAACACTATGAAGAAAAATATCGAACTTTTCTTGCTCTTAAATGAGCTGGTCCTGCAGCCTCGTGGGTAAGAAGTCAGATCACGTATACCTGGCTGCAGTTAGAGCCCAGCCCTGGTGCTGGGAAACACACTGGACACATGTGCATGCACGCCCCAAATCCCAACAGGATGGAGAAGCAGAGAGGGGACTGCAGTGTGACCACGTCCCACTGGGGTGCTTTCTCCCTACTGCTCTGGCAAGTACACACATCCTCAATTAAAAATAAAAAATAAATAAAGATCTATATTAAATAAATATGCAATATTACTGGATAGAAAAATGCAATATTAAAGAAATGCCAATTTTGGGCCCATGTGTGTGCGTGCTCAAGATCCCAAGAGGAGAAAGGAGGAGAAGGGATTGCGGTGTGGCCATGCCCCCTGGGGGGGGGGTGATTTCTCACTTTGTTTCTCTGTCCCTCTGTTTTTCTGGCAAGCGTACACACCCTATAGCAAAAACTTCTCCAAGAAAACGAAAAGCCAATTCTACTCACAATTCCACCTATAAATTCAATGCAATCACAAATGAATCCAAATAAATTTTTGGAAAGCTAAGGTGGTGACCGGAATTCATCTGGAGGCTAAAATCTTTCGGAATGGCCAGGTCAGTGTAAAAAATAAAGACCAGTAAGGAGAACTACACTGCCAGCCATGCAAACAGTACAAAATGTAGCAGTAAAAATGTGGTCTGGGCCAGGAGGTCACATGGCGGTTATGTTATGGTGCCTGGATCCTGGGTGACTAACTGCATGGTTGGAGTCCGGAACCAGCAGCTTGAAAAAAGACTTCGGGCACAGGTGCATGTGCCCAAAATCCTGAGAAGAGAATGGTGGCGAAGGGACTGTCCATGGCCATCTCCCGGAGGGCGGGCTCACTCGCCCACTCGCTGTCTAGCAAGTGCACACACCCTAAAGTAAAAACTTAAAAACAACAAACCCGCATTTGAAAATGATTGTAAATAGTAAATAGATCAGGAGACAGAAAAGAGTTCCAAAACAGCTGTGTGTGTGTATATGTTGTATTCTATATAAGAGACAGGTAGACACAGGGATTAGATCAAAGGCAGGTCACAACTGTCAGTAGGGGAAATGACGTTCTCATCTAATTCCCTGTGTCTGCAGAACTGCTGCCCTGTTGGATTAAAAACAGCTGGTTATCCTGATGTCCTGGGTTGTTGGGAAATTCATGCTGCATTTTTACATAGAAAAGCATCGAAAAATAGGTCATGACTTTCCCAAAAAGAGAGGAGAATGGAGGAGAAGGGATTGCGGCGTGACCATCCCCCCTGGGGGGTGATTTCTCGCTTTCTGTCTCTATGTCTCTCTCTGTCTGTCTGGCAAGTGCACGCGCCCTACAGTGAAAATCTCTCCAAAAAAAAAAAGTCCTTCCAATCCTCAAGTTCTTCCACAGTTCTTGTAGGGTATATTTTCCCTTGATGTAAGTAGCTAAATAAACTTAATTATTTTTGACTAGAAGTGTATTCCAGGTACATTCTGGTTAGTGGGCTTTAGTGCACGTGTATAAACACTATGAAGAAAAATATCGAACTTTTCTTGCTCTTAAATGAGCTGGTCCTGCAGCCTCGTGGGTAAGAAGTCAGATCACGTATACCTGGCTGCAGTTAGAGCCCAGCCCTGGTGCTGGGAAACACACTGGACACATGTGCATGCACGCCCCAAATCCCAACAGGATGGAGAAGCAGAGAGGGGACTGCAGTGTGACCACGTCCCACTGGGGTGCTTTCTCCCTACTGCTCTGGCAAGTACACACATCCTCAATTAAAAATAAAAAATAAATAAAGATCTATATTAAATAAATATGCAATATTACTGGATAGAAAAATGCAATATTAAAGAAATGCCAATTTTGGGCCCATGTGTGTGCGTGCTCAAGATCCCAAGAGGAGAAAGGAGGAGAAGGGATTGCGGTGTGGCCATGCCCCCTGGGGGGGGGGTGATTTCTCACTTTGTTTCTCTGTCCCTCTGTTTTTCTGGCAAGCGTACACACCCTATAGCAAAAACTTCTCCAAGAAAACGAAAAGCCAATTCTACTCACAATTCCACCTATAAATTCAATGCAATCACAAATGAATCCAAATAAATTTTTGGAAAGCTAAGGTGGTGACCGGAATTCATCTGGAGGCTAAAATCTTTCGGAATGGCCAGGTCAGTGTAAAAAATAAAGACCAGTAAGGAGAACTACACTGCCAGCCATGCAAACAGTACAAAATGTAGCAGTAAAAATGTGGTCTGGGCCAGGAGGTCACATGGCGGTTATGTTATGGTGCCTGGATCCTGGGTGACTAACTGCATGGTTGGAGTCCGGAACCAGCAGCTTGAAAAAAGACTTCGGGCACAGGTGCATGTGCCCAAAATCCTGAGAAGAGAATGGTGGCGAAGGGACTGTCCATGGCCATCTCCCGGAGGGCGGGCTCACTCGCCCACTCGCTGTCTAGCAAGTGCACACACCCTAAAGTAAAAACTTAAAAACAACAAACCCGCATTTGAAAATGATTGTAAATAGTAAATAGATCAGGAGACAGAAAAGAGTTCCAAAACAGCTGTGTGTGTGTATATGTTGTATTCTATATAAGAGACAGGTAGACACAGGGATTAGATCAAAGGCAGGTCACAACTGTCAGTAGGGGAAATGACGTTCTCATCTAATTCCCTGTGTCTGCAGAACTGCTGCCCTGTTGGATTAAAAACAGCTGGTTATCCTGATGTCCTGGGTTGTTGGGAAATTCATGCTGCATTTTTACATAGAAAAGCATCGAAAAATAGGTCATGACTTTCCC